CCGACTGAGGCACTGGATGGTGGGTTTCCGACCAACACCTCGTTAGATCAGATCATTGCCCGGAAAATTAACGGCGGGACGTTGCTGCCGTCGATGGAACTGAGTTGCAACGACCATACCAATCAGCGTGAAACCAAATACTTCGAGACAATCTCTTGGCATGGTCCCGGTTACGCCGCCAACGCCCAGAAAAACCCCCGAGATGTTTTCGATCGCTTGTTCGGCAAGCCCGACCCACGCATGGCCAGTCTGCTGGATGTCGTGATGGAAGATGCCCGCCGACTCGAACGTTCGCTTGGTCCAAGCGACCGGAGCAAGCTGGGCGAGTTCCTCGACTCGGTCCGAAGTGTCGAGCAGAAGATTCAAAAGGCCGAGAAGCATGCCGCCAAGCGTCATCCAAACCCCATGACGCGCCCCACCGGTATGCCGGAGGATCGCGGCGAGTATATCCGTGTCATGGTCGATCTGATCACGATCGCGTTTCAGCAAGATCTAACGCGAGTCGCCACGTTGGTGATCGATCCGGAACGTTGGGATACGCCACGTATGTACCATGGCGTGTTCGACAGTCCGCAAAACCATCACGCACTGACCCATACCAAGGGTGACGAGGCAAAGGAGAAGCTACAGCGAATCGATGAGTTTCACGTCTCGCAGTTTGCGTACTTCCTGGAACGCATGCAAGCGATGAGCGATAGTAGCGGCACGCTGCTCGACAGTAGTTTGTTGACCTACGGTAGCGGAATGGGCAATGGTCAGATTCACGACTACAACGATCTTCCGGTCATCACCGCCGGAAACCTTCACGGTAAAGTCCCGACCGGAATTCATCACCGTTTTGGTGGCAAGAAGCCGGTCGCAAACCTCTGGCTTTCACAGGCCCAGGCAGCGGGTATCGAGGTCGACAACTTCGCAGACAGCAGCGGAACGATCGATCTTCGAAACTCCCCAGCCACTTAGCCAACGCGATTGCACTGCGTCTCCCTTCATTCCAACAACAAAGAGAACGATATGAATCGCTTCCTGGTGCTAAGTCTCTTGCTCTGCGCACCCTTTTGGTCAGCAGCACAGGCACAAGAGTCTGACGACTGCCGCGTACGGTTACTCTTTGCAGGCAGTAGCAGCATGTATTGGAATGACCTGCCAGATGCCGTTGGCCAGGTCGTGTCAAAAAAAGTGTCTGGCAAGGAAGGGTGTCTTGCCACTGCAGAACTTGTCGGTCGAAGTGGTGACGACATCCGGGTCTACCTGCAACCTGGCTTCGATAACTACCAATACGGCGTAAAGCCCGGTCAGACTTTTTTGGAGAAGGTGCAAGCCGAAAAGTTCGACTTCGTCACGATGATGGTGTTCACGCGATTCATTATGGAGACCGGCCCATCGCTGGCCGAAAGCGAACATGCCCAAGCAGTCACGACCTACTGCCAGGCGATCCGTGCCGCAGACGGTGAGCCGGTGTTCTATGAGTCTGGCTGGGGAGATGCTCCCTTCCATGAGGAGGGACGAAAGCGGATTCTGGAGTTGGCCAAACAAAATAATGTGACGCACTTTGCGCCGTGTTCTTCCGCATGGGCGCGTGTTGCCAAAGAACGCCCCGATTTGAAGCTACAAGACCCACACGATCCTGTTCACCCAGGCAACTTGGGACACTTTCTCAATATGGCGTGCTTCTATGCCGCATTGACGCAGCAGTCGCCCGTCGGACAGTTGCCGCGTACGTTCCCTGTATGGCACCACTGGGGCGAAAAGGAGCGTGCACAACGGAAGACCACATTGGACGAAGCATTCGCCAAGTTCGAGCCCAATGACTATCAGAGACGTCTTCCCAAATGGATGCAGGCCTACGCGAGTGCGGGCCTGACCGAAACCCTTTCGGAAGACGATGCCCGCTATCTGGAGACGGTTGCTTGGGAAATCTGGCAAGAGACCCAGCGGGCGTTAACCCAAGTCCAAGAAGACTAACACACACGTCAGAAATACACCCAACCGATTCGCTCAAACCTAAGACATCATTGGAATGATTAAAACATCCTACCGCTCTATCGCAGGACTCCAAATCGCAAATGAACTCGTTGATTTCGTTGCTCATGAAGTGGTGCCAAATACCGGCACTACCTGCGATGAAGTATGGCGTCTACTGGCCAGCTTGGTAGAACAGCTGGGCGATCGAAATCGTGAGTTGCTCAAAACGCGAGATGAATTGCAAGCCGAACTCGATCAATGGTTTAAGGACCACCGTGGTGCTTCATTCGACGTTGCCGAGCATCAGGCGTTCCTCAAAGAGATCGGCTATCTCGTGGGCCCACCAAGTGACGCGAAAGTGACCACTCAAGGCGTCGACCCCGAGATTGCCACCATTGCAGCTCCCCAGTTGGTTGTGCCGCTGGACAACGCACGGTACGCCATCAATGCGGCGAATGCCCGCTGGGGAAGTTTGTTCGACGCTCTGTACGGAACGAACGCGATTCCCCATGAAGACGTACTCGAAGCGGACCAAGGCTATGACCAGGCGCGCGGCATGCTGGTCATTCAGGAGGCGAACCGCTATCTCGACAAGTTCCTACCGTTCCAAGAGGTCTCTTGGAATCAACTGAACAGCATCGTCCTCAACGAGAACAACGATTCCGTCGCGGCATCCTTTCTGACGGTGCAGGGAAAAGAAGCTAAGTTTGCCGATCCGAATTGCCTGGCAGGGTACAACGCGTCCTCCGACACGGCATTCTCCCTGCTGTTCGTTCATCATGGTCTTCATATTGAAATTCAAGTAGACCCAAAACATCCGGTAGGACAACAACATGCTGCCGGCATCAAGGACGTCATTCTCGAGGCGGCAGTCACCACCATTCAGGACTGTGAAGACTCCGTCGCAGCTATCGATGCCGTTGATAAAGTCCAGGTATACCGAAACTGGCTTGGCCTAATGAAAGGAGATCTAACGGCCACCTTTAGTAAAGGTGGCAATCAAATCAATCGCGTTCTGAGTGAGGATCGAGTTTTCCAGACGTTTACCCAGGAGGCCATTCAGCTACCGGGGCGAAGCTTACTTCTCGTACGTATCGTTGGAATGCATATGCACACCGATGCCGTGCTAACCAAAGACGGAATCCCCATTCCCGAGGCGTTTCTCGATGCGGTTCTCGTCACTTTGGGGGCACTGCACGATCTTAAGGGGCAGGGTCGTTTCCAGAATAGCAAGACAGGGAGCGTCTACATTGTCAAACCCAAGCAGCATGGGCCGGAAGAGGTCACGTTGACTGTCGATCTATTCGCCAAGGTTGAGTCGGCATTCGGTCTGCCGGAAGGCACTTTGAAACTGGGCATTATGGACGAAGAACGGCGCACGTCCGCGAACCTTCTCGCATGTCTGGAACGCGCGGCGAGTCGTGTTGTATTTATCAATACAGGGTTTCTTGATCGCACCGGGGATGAGATCCACTCGCGAATGCAGTTTGGGCCAGTTGTCCCCAAGGATGCGATTAAGGAATCGGTATGGCTAAACGCCTACGAACGCAATAACGTGGCCGCTGGGCACGCGTCGCAGCTTAATCAAGTGGGCCAGATAGGCAAGGGCATGTGGGCCATGCCCGATCAAATGGCCGAAATGCTTGGCAGCAAGCATAAGCAGTTGGAAGCAGGGGCGACGACCGCTTGGGTCCCTTCACCTACGGCCGCCGTATTGCACGCGATTCACTACCACCAGTTCGAAGCGGCAAGTCAATGTACCAGTGACAACTGCGAGG